AATAACATTAACCAACAGGAAGAGTTGTTCAGTTATAATGACAGCCCCTTCACAGCAGCCACCATAATCACAAAATTTATTGTCATAATCGAGTTAATAGTTACAATAACAATGGAATTATCCTGTAAACAGGTGACAATGATTATCTCTCATCATCTCCTTACCTAACATTTACCTTGTATTCCCCTGCAAAATCCAAGTACACGTATTTACACTACCCTGTGAATTATGAAAATATTATCCCATTTACGTTGCTTTTTATTAAGAAACCATGTTACATTCTTTGAAATATATTTTTCTTCCTCATTTTCCAAAACAACACCTGCTGGGGTACATGCATCATCTAACGTTAAGAAAACATATTTGTAGAATCATTTTAATATAATCACGCGTGATTTATGTCAAAACGTGGCTCGTCATCGATTAACATTTATTTCAACACCTAAAACACGCGGGATATACCGCAAGTTACTGCGTTAATCCATGTAAAACTCTTGACCTTTTCCTGTCAAGGAAGGGGATTCCGAGCCTCGTTTTGAAAGTGACACATCACAACGAGACACCAGGGCACAAGGGAGGAAGATCAGACAGAGAGAAAAAAACAAGGTAAGATGAGAACGTGATAAGCCACTTACAAAATGGTTAAAAAATGAGCAAATAGCAACATAACTTTTGCTGATGCCTGATCACCACGCCCATCAAGAGCTATATCACTTATTCCCTCATCTGGGCCTTATGGTGATCGGCGTATGGGGACAGGTGAATTAAGGTTACATAAACGTCAGCACAAGAGTTTTTACCTTTGATGACCGAACTCGGGTACCACTAGAACAGAAATGCATGCGTTACCCGCCCTTTTAACGTATTTTATATGTACAATATGAATATTAAACATATAATTTCAAAAAGTATATCATACTGTATACTAGTATGTACAGTATTGCAACAGTGCTAAGGAATTTTCGTGCTAAGACTTAGATTTCTTCAACACGCTATGCATATACTACCTATAGTCTTCCATAACGAAACACACACACACACACACACACACACACACACACACACACACACACACACACACGATCAAACCCCGTTTCAGTGCTGAAGGTATAAATGTGAATCCTATTTATGTCAGTGACACATTAGCTCATTATTCATTATGTGTTTGAGCCCTATAGTTATCAGCCTCTAGACTTACATTTGAGCATTTTATGTTCACTGGAGTGCTGTAATGAATTAGAGTGGTGAAGAATGATTATTTTTGGACCATTGCAAACAGTGTTATTTTTGCACAGAACACACATGCACACTAAATGTAAATGTATATGATAAGATAAATATAAGTAATTAAGTAGATTGATTGTTTGGATAAATATAAATTAACTTTGGTAAGATAAAAGTCCTTTTTCCTCGATGATTGTATGGCTGTTTCTTGTCGCAATCACAGTCAACACACAGAAATAAATTTATTCAACTTGAGATTCTTCTTCTTATTTTAGGAGATAATTTTATAACTTTTGTTCCTCTTTAGTAGTGCAAGTACAATCCAACTTTAACTTTCAAACATGAATATATATATAAATAAATATTATTATTATTATTAAAGGTTTTCCATTGAATATCAATATATATCAATGTTTTTAAGTCGTGCTTAGTTGACCTTTAATACAGATGGTCTTGATTAGTTTTCAAGCATGCAGGAGTCATGCAAGGTTTAACAGGTAATGTGATGTTTATTTAAATATCATATACATCATTATGCCATACTAGGTGCATGAGCATGGCTCTAAACTGTGCTACACTATTATCTGCACCAGTAGAATTCAATCATAATGTGACAATAATTTTGAATCACTATATCTGACAAACTGTGTACCTGTACTAAAGAATCCATAGATTATAATATTTTGTTTGTTTTAATGTCCAAAGTTTTCTTAACCTAGGCCTTGCCAGCCTGGTCTTATAAGGTGTGGGTAGTTTACCATGAAGTATTTCACAGGTGGATGCAACGAGGGGGGCTTACGTATTCCATTTTCCAAAATGTCTGTCCTACGAGGAGGAGACAAAATACTAAGCAGAGGCATTCAGAAGAAAGACAAAGACCCTCTAAACTGTACTTTTTTTACAGACTAGGATAATGTATTAAATGCTCTTTCAAGGTAAATTTTTGGGACTGGCATTGGTATAAGGTAAAAAAAGGAGACTGTAGACTATCTATTTTGGCATAAAGATATTTTTGGAATTGTGTGATGATATTTTGAGAATGCTTATGACAGAATACAAAGGTAGTTTTGGTAAAGATGTATATAATTGTTGGCTTTTAATTACTAAGGGCACATTTTATGTAGATCGATCCAATGCCGAAGGGATTCTCGCTGAATGCAACTAGATTAACTGAATGGCACTCCTCCTTGAGCAGCTAGGGAGTGATTATCTCGTGTGCATTACACCCCATTTCCATAGATTTTTAGATCGATCTATCCCTGTGGGGAGTCTCACTAGATTACTGTCAGCTTGGCCAGCTTAAGCGTCTGTCCTGCCTACTAAAAGCTCTAAGGGGGTAATTAACTATGGTGTCCGCTCGGCTGACTGCAATTTAGCCTGAACCCCCAGGGAGTTAGGTCGATCTAAAACTTAATCTTTAGATCGATCTAAATCTCTAGGAAAGCACCCTTAGATCACATTCAATATGAAGTGAAAAAACTTCCAGAAACTGAGCAATATTATTATTGGGAACATCCCCTAAGTGCCTCAGGCCTACCCAACTACCAGACTCGGCACCAAATGATCCTGAATTATTCACCGGTAGATTGTACCACACTACCTGTTTTCAAGGTGTGTATCAGTACACACTTCAAAGGAACAGACGCAACAACGCTCTTGCCTAGTACACGCTGTGATAGAGATGATTCTCAGTGGGGTTGGAAAGTAGTACATCTCATCTCAAAATTTGCTCCGGGGTATGATACTATGAAATGCGTACTGATGCACACCTTGAAAAAGGGTAGTTTGGTCTGATCTTCTGGTGAATTCGGTGCCGAGTCAGGTAGTTAGGTAGGCCTGTGCCTACTGGATGTATTATAGTGTAGTTAATTGAGTTCGTATACAACTACTGACTGATGTTTGTCCATAGTACATATACTAACTTGCAATAGGCCCAAATAAGTCATCATTAATATACTCTGCTGGTATAACTAGTCTGTATTTAAATTATTTACTAGGTGGTATTGCAGTAATTATACTTGGAAGTATGCAGATACCAGATCTGGAGCTGTGACTGTATGGATTAAGGGAAAGTTGGAGAGCCTAAAGGCAGTGTTTAGACTTACATCAGACAAGACAAAATGGAGCTGCAACCTGTAGGATCCTCTTATAAACGCATGAAAGAAGGTACTGGAGGGTCTTTAAGGTCATCCTAATTGCAGACTTGAATTATAGACTCTCTCTAATTATTTGTATACATTATCAAATGTACCCTATCACTGCTACTTTCTCTCTCTCTCTCATGTGTTCAGTTGTTTGATGAATATTTGTCCATTTGTAAATAAAAAAGGGGGTTGATAGATTACATGCACCATTCATCTTTGAATAGAAGTACTGAGTACATTGTACTACAACATCAAAGTGTTTTGAATGGCACTTTATCTCATTTCATCCTTTTCAGTTCATTGTATTTTGTGTACTGTTTAGATTAACATTTTTTTCACTGTTTTTAAATCAGTTTCACTGACTATTTCAGATCATGGCACTTTCAGTGATGCTCCAGTTATCTCTACTACTGAGAGCTCAGTGGACCATGCTAACTTCACAGTGGAAGATGCAGTGGAGACCATTGGGTTTGGAAAGTTCCAGCTGAAACTATTTGTACTCTGTGGCATTTTTACAGTGAGTGCTGTACATAACAAGTGGCTCAACTGTTACAAGTACATGTATATTGTGTTTACTCTTACATACTCTTGAGGCACTATGACGTGTTTGTTATTTCAGCTAAAATTTCACAAATGGATGATCAAATCAAGTTAAAAATTTGAATTTGAATTGACAATTCCATGTACTGAAGGAATGCTTTTAAGGTGTTATTAGCTTAGATGCTGGTAACACAAATATTCAAACATAATTATAATATATAAATGCAAATTTATATAAGACTTGATTATGCCCATGCCAATGTGTATGTTCATAGCTTGCATGCATATTTATACAGTTGTGTCACTTGAGGGTTTAATACTGAATGCAAAGATGACATAATTCAGGTGTTCTTTGAATAACATTTGCTGGATTATATATCTCTGAGCAAATAGCTCTAGACAATGTTGTGGTTTCCCTGTCTGTATTAAGCAGACAAGTATTTTAGACAAAAATCTTCATGCTTTATATTTGCTGACATGTCAAAATTTAGGTCATCGATGATGAATAAGTTGCTATGACTAACAGCATGATGCAGTGCTTTGGTCAATTTTCATAATTATTGTTTGCCATGTTCATTGTTTAAAATACAGGTACATGTATCTCTAAAACTATGTTGCCTATAATGGGGTACCATCCATATAAATTTAGATATTTTACCACTGCTTGTCTAAAAGGTCTCTCTCTATTGCATGCATTAGAAAAAAGATATTTAATAATTGTCTAGACAGATGAGTTGTGATAGGGGCATTATATAGCATGGCATTAATTTTATATCCTGTTTTAGAGTTATTGTTGCTTCAGTACTAGTACATTAACTTCCCCACTGTAAAACCACATTAAAATTTTCACCTTGAATCTACAGTTTACGAATCCTCTTTCCTGAGACAAGACAAGAATTTATGACCAACAGTTAGTGGCTATATGGTTAGAAAAAAAAATATTATCTGGTCTTAGATGTTTGTGGGGTTGTGGGTCACATTTTTGGTTGGGGGGGGGTGGGTGGTGAGGGGTGGACTTCTGGCATGAACAACAGATATTTTGTCTACGTATGAGTTACAAAAATAACTTTATTAATACAAGAAAATTGTCCACACCAAACTTATAAACAATGCTCTGTTCTGCATACATTTTAATTTTTTTATATTATATTTCATTTAGGCTTCAGATGCCATGGAGATGTTACTACTGGCAGTGCTGGGTCCTGTGTTGAGATGTGAGTGGCTACTCGAGGAAGTACAAGTTGCCTTTATCACAACGGTAATTTAAGGGGTCATTCCCAAATAAACTATCCTTCTACTTAGATCCATTTAACTCCCTGGGGACTCTTACTAAATGTAGTTAAGCAGATTAACAAGCTTCCTGATGTTAAGTAGAATACAGACTGAAAAGCTAGTGATTGTACAAGTGTGTTTGAACAAAGAAGAGGCTTGTTTAAAATCAAGTTAACTGATTTCATTCAGCAAGGGTCCCTGTAGAGTTGTATTGATCTATGGAGACTGAAGAACAATAAATTCATTGGGAATGAGCCTTAGCAATCTATTATACATGTATGTATGCATTTGTGTCCATTGCATTAATTTTTTTTTAGTTTAATGAGTTGCTTATTTTATATTTTTTTAATGGGAGTATATCTAGATTACAAATTTTATATATGTTCATTATTGATGTGATTATGTTTTTGTTTAAATGTCTAGATGATTTATTTGCATTTTGAGCTATTTCAAAATACTTATAATGTTTGATATGATGTCCAGGCTTTTACATTGTTTATATATTGTATGAATGGGGCATATTATTTAAATGCTATAAACTTTTATGCTTAATCTTTCTAGGCAGTGTTTATTGGCATGTTTTTGGGTGCTCCAGGCTGGGGAAAATGTGGAGATACATATGGAAGATGGCCTGTGAGTATATTATGTAGATATTCATTATCCAGTATCCAATTTAATACACCATTGCTTTGGTAACTGTGTACAAATGGATCATGCAAGCTCACTTTAATATATATTTGAAAAATGCCATCATTTCTGTTCTGGTAAGATACAATTGTAATTCTTTGTCATTCTTTAAACATAATGATAAAAATCTAATGAGACTGCATTGCTAACTCTTTATTTCTCTGTATACATAAACACACATGAATGCCTCATAAAATCAACTCTCTCTACTTTCCTTTTTTTCCAACCAATAACCAGTATATATACATTCATTAAATTACCTGCAAGTTATGATGGTTCTAATTTGTGAAAAAATCTCACATGCATTTATTTGCTGACGTTTTATTTAATGATGGTGGTGTAATGTGATACATTCTATAAATAGCTTGTGAGTTCACTGTCACATATATGCTTCACAAAAACAACCCTCATTCTCATATGAGCTTTGTTTTTATGCTTAGCTAGCTTCATCCAACTTTAGTTATATTGATCTATCAGTGATGTGTTATAAGATTTTCCAAAAATGTGAAAATTGAATTGATAGAAATTATATTTATGCTCATATTAGAAAATTCCCACATGTCACACATTCCAACTTTAACTTGCAACAGTACTGTTAGAGCAGAACTGTTAGGGAGCTATTTCGGACCTTTGGGGGCCACTGTTTGAGCCAGCCCTAGGTGGGATGCCCATACTGTACACAAATTTTGGTCTTGGGGCCCCAACTACTTGATAGCCCAACTACACCACAAAAGGGGTGGCAGGTGGGCTGTAATAGGCCAACCTTAGTGTTTTTTGTTTTATCTTTTTCATTCCAAGTTAAAACCCTACAATATTAACATTAATTTCAGATCTGAACCAAAAGCAGTCAATAAAGCGATTATGTGATTGGTATTCAGAGCCAGGGGAATGCAGCAATAATGCCACATTCAGTTAAGGCCTTAACTCATATTGATAATGTCTGCAGGTAGTTTCTCAGCCAATCAAGTACATTTTATTGCCCAATAAAAGGTTCACATTATAACATTTTGTGCTTAGATGCTGCTTCTTGTTGGCCTGTGGATCAGTTTCTTTGGCTTCCTGAGTTCCTTCAGCCCAGTGTATGGCTGGATATTGGTGCTGAGAGCGCTGGTGGGTTTTGGAATAGGAGGGGCATCCCAGGCGTAAGTAAAAAAAGTGCACTTAAGACAGTGGAGGTTCTTTTTTTATACACCCAACTTTCTAGCATAGTGTTCTTCCTTGCTGGACAGTGTAGTGACCATACAGTCATTTATGACCGAGTGCTAACTGGATTTTGCTAATTAATTTTGAAAGGTACCCTGTACTTCACTGCATGGTAAATTGTAGGGAAAAATACCCTGTACATGGCAAGTTTATATTTTGATATTACCATGTAAATAAGAAAGGAAACTATTCTATTTCTTTCTGAAATATCAAACATATGTTGCAGTACAAGAAAATGAAGTGCTCTTTTTACTGGTCACTCAATTTTTATCTTTTAAAAGACATATTTTAATAAACATTGTTGAGCTCAAAATTTGCATCAGAATGTCACATTTCTTATTCCAAATAGCTTAAAACTGATTTGATTTTTCTTAAAGATATTTTTTACTTTTATTCTTAAGGTTTACAATTCTGGCAGAATATCTCCCTAGAAAGCACAGAGCCAAGACACTTATTATATATCATGTGAGTATGAGTATATATAGTTCAGCAAAAAAGCAAAAAAGATCAAATCTTGTGTAAAAAGGTGCCAGGAACCTGTTTTTTTTATGTACAGACTCAGATGTGTCTGTACATATTGCCATCACCTGCGTCTGTCGTCGCCGTCGCCAATGCTGATGCCGATGCCGATGCCATCGCCGGCGCTGTGCACTTTCCTTGTAAACAGTGGAGGGCAGTTTTACTTTTTGGCTTTATATTTACAGAGCTGATGAATATTCATAAAACGCAGGTCAAGTTCGAAAATCAGCATGATCGGGCCATTATTGTAGAAGTTATGCTGTTTTTTCACTTTTCAGCATATGTGCAACCCTGTAAACACATTTTAAGGAAAACCATTAAGCCTGTTGTCATGAAACTCACAGGAGTAATCAATCTTATTAAAACGCAGGTCAAGTTCGAAAATCGGCATGATCGGGCCACTATTTTAGTAGTTATGCTGTTTTTTCATTTTTCAGCATATATGCAACACTGTAAACACAATATAAGAAAAAAAGATAGGCCAATTGTCATTTAACTCACAGGAGTGATCAATCTTACTAAAACGCAGATTGAGTTCGAAAATCAGCATAATCGGGGCATTATTTTAGAAGTTATGCTGTTTTTTCACATTTCCTCAAATTCAACTCTTAGGCATGTTAACAGTCTCGTTATTGAACTAATAAAATATGTAAAAGTGTTTGTTTGACATATACTGCACCTTTACAACATTGTTAGTTGATTATGTAAAAATGATGGTAAACTTGTTATCGTGTATTGTGTAATAAAGTGTCAAAAATGGAAATAAACTCATATCATTGCAGTTTGTCAGATTCAATCATTCACTATGTTCAGAATCTCAGAATGGAGGAAATTGGACATTTAACACTGTTGTATTGATAGTTTTCCCATCTCATCAATTTTCTTAGTTGATCGTATATAAATGGCAGTAACCGGTAAATTTTGTTTTATGTTAAAAAAATTGTTAAAAATGGAAAAAAAAACCATTTCAGAACAGTGCTGTCTTGTTTACATTCTGGCATTTTCAAGTTGTGACTTGGAAGTTCCATGGGCCTGAAGACCTTTGCTAGTCACATTTTCTGAATATCCATGATATTAATATTTTATTATTAAAAATTGATTGTCATTATGCTGTTAACCATTATGTAATATTGCATCAGAATAGAAGAAAACACAATTTAGGGTGCTGCTGCCATGATGACCATTATGGGAAAACCATGTTACTTATGATTGCCAAACTTTCAAAAAAGAAATACAGGACTAAAATGCAGCCCGAGTTGGAAAAGCAGTCTAATTGACTTCTTTATCTGGAAGTTATACATTTTCAAAGTCTGAACTTGAACTCACATGGGCCTGAAGCCTTATGTTTGTTACACATTTTACTTACATTGGTATTACCTGTTGAACAAATTTGATGTTGAATTTGCAGTTTAACATAATGTACTTTTGCATCAGAATTGACAGTAGCCTTTTTTGTTATTTCCTGTTTTTTGTCTGTACATTTGACAGCTTTGCTGCCTTGTTTCTTTTTTCTTTTCAAATAGTACCAAAGCATGTATATATTGAACACTTTTATTTGCATTATCTTTTACTATGAAAAACCATATATAATTTAATATTTATGCAGATTTTCTGGGCCACGGGTAGCTGTTTTGAGATCATCCTTGCCATGGCTGTAGTTCCTACCAAAGGCTGGAGGTGGCTGGCTGCTCTGTCTGCCATACCACTGGGGGTCAGCTGCTTCTTCTTTTATGTGAGTTTTATTGAATAATTATAAGAATAGTTATAATATTAATAATAATGATAATAATAATGTTAACCAAGCCAATTAAATATATTTAAAATACATTAATTTTGAAATTATTTTGCTGTCCCAAGAAAAGAATAAATAGAGGTATTTTACTAAGAGATATGTTACTTTCTAGGGCTAAAAATGAATAACAGTGTAAGGGGTATGTTACTTTCTGGGGCTAAAAATGAATAACATTATTAACTTCTAGTCATTTGCAGTCATTTTATGAACACTTCAGGAGTTATTTAAGGGAAGCAGTGGCTATGAACCAGGTATTGGCATCACTGGTGCAAGTTTTGATAGCACCCCTTGGTAATAATGCCTGATAAAACAGAGGCATCATTGGTGTTTAGCACACTCTGCTGTGGGAGGAAATCTTTACTTGCGCCAGTGACTTCAGAAAAACCCATTGTGCTTTTCCAAGTTCTCCTCTGATGTGTAAAAGTCATTTTCATTTTACTTTCCCAGTTCATCCCAGAATCGGCAAGATATTTGATGGCTGCTGGGGATCGCGAAAAAGCCATGAAGATTCTTAGGGAAGCAGCAAAGTTAAACAATGCAGAGCTGCCATCAGGAGAGTTACAGAAGTCACCAGTGGTAGGCCCACTTGCTTCTAGATTATAATAGGTTAAATACCACATGCTTTGAATTTTGAAAACCGTACCTTTTCATCTTACGGTACTGGTTTTATTTTAAACTTGGAAAGACATTTCTATTATGTGCTCTGGTATTCAATTCATCAAAAAGATTTGCTAATGAAATTGCGCTATGACTTCATTAAATTTGAAATACATGTTATTTGGATCAATTGTCATGTTCCACCTAGGGAGGAATTGAATTTTTATATGATTATCATTTTTCTTTTTTGCTAGCTGGCCAGAGGCAAATTTGCAGATATATTTTCTGCTGAATATAGAAGAACAACATTTCAGATTTGGCCCATATGGTTTGGTATTGCCTTCAGTTATTATGGCATTATATTAGCAAGCTCTGAAATCTTAGAATTTCACAAGTCATGTACAGGTAAGAATTACAAATTTTATGGAAAGCATTACAAATTTTATGGATCTGATTGAAGAGAGTTTTCAGAACATTTAAACTACATCAGTGGGCAGAAACTTTCACATCCAAAGAGGGCAGTACTGAGTTAATCATAAAATTTTGTCTCAGCATGATAGAATATTTAAATGATCTTGTAAACATGTTTTAAATATGGTATGAAAGTGGTATGAAAGTAGGAAATACATGGAAGTGCCAGAAAATAAAATTACTACAATTTTGTTCTGCTCAAAAATACCTGCTTCATGTTAAAGCTTAAAATGCTTTTTTATACACATTAGAAACCACTGCTTTCTGCTGACTTAGAACTATTATTGCTAAAGGATGTTTTTTATGCTACTTTAAACCATGTTTCACTGTTATCAAATTCTCATTATGTTAACTTCTTTCCTGTCTAGGGTCAGGTACAGAAGTGATTCAGACAGAGCAAGGTTGCCATTGTAATCCACTAGGTCATGCTGACTATATAACCATGATATGGTCATCTTTAGGGGAATTTTTAGGTAAGTGTCATTTGTTAGTGTATCAATCATTTGAACACAGTATAAAATTGTATGTGAAGGTTGGTAAATGGGTTTTTCATTGTCTCTTGTGTGATGATGGTAATCAAAAATAAATTGTTTCTATTAAGAGATTAGACATGTGATGTGAGTCAGTCAGGTAATCCAGATGTTTTGATGAAAGTCAAAGGTCATGCCACACAGTTAAAAAAATTATTGTTAAGAAACTATTTATTATTATTTTATTTATTCATTTATTTATTTATTTATTTTCATCAACCTGAAGAATTTTTAAAAAAATAGTTTACCCTATCTCTTTCAAGAAAGATGAAATATGTATCATGCTATTTATAACTGACAGAGTAGTTTTGAAGACACTTGAGTTTTTCTTCTGTGCCATATGCAATAGATATTTGAAAATGGATAAGGTTTTTTTCAAGAAGTTAAAGTATAAAGTTGTACTATCAATTATTTCCTTGAAAGTGAAATGTAAGTTTCCAGGGAAAAAATCCACACTTTGCGTATGAAGAAATTCTTGAAATAGTTGCTTTTCAACATGTTGCTCTTGCTTTTTTATAGGTTTGCCAATTAACTTATTTCTGATGGATCTCATTGGACGACAGAAAACCCTTGCAGTGAGTCTGGTCGGCACTGGAGTCTTCTTCCTCCTCATACAGCTGTGCGTCTCCCGTGGTGTTCTGACCTTCTTCTTGTTTGGTGCTAGAGCCTTGTCTTCTGCCGTCTTCAACACGGTTTATATCTATACAACAGAGGTAGGATTTTTGAATTTGATTGTTTGTTTTAATTGTATACTAATTCAATCATTCATTTATCTACTGGATTATCTATTTGTTATTTATTGTTTGTTCAGAATGACATAAAAGATATTGAAGATTTATATACTTTATATACTTGTAATGAATATAACAGTATAAATTCCTCAAATAGATAGTTCAAAAGGGGGGGGGTGTCTTGGGAGGGAAATTCCGAGGGGAATTGTCCCAGAATCATTTTAACATAGTGTTTATTATTAATTTTTAATTAAAAATTTACCATGACATTTAGGTCTATCCCACAACTGTTCGAGCATTAGGATTGGGTTCCAGTAGTGCCATGGCGAGGTTAGGTGCCATGAGCACTCCTTTTATATCACAGGTAATGATTTATGTTTGCCTTGACTCGGGCAGATTTAGACTCCATTCACATGAAAAATCTATTTTCTAAAAATGTATTTTCTATTCGCGGTATCTTGTGATCACTCGGAGCGCAGCCGAGAATTAATTACAGCTTTGGAAGTAACTGGCTTGCGCTGCCAGTAATTATGCCGTGGGATATTCAGGGCACAGACTGTGATCACAAGATACCGCGAATAGAAAATAGATTTTTAGAAAATAGATTTTTCATGTGAACAAAGCCTTAAGCCGTCTTCTGGGTCTTCCCATTGAACATGGGTGTCCCATTTTTTAACCTCTTGAGGATCATCTTGTCATCAGATTGTAACATCTCAAGTCTGAATTAAATGTTAGCTGAAGCTTTATTGACTTTTGCTTCCTTAATAAACAGATAATGATTTCTCTTAAGTATTGAGGTACTGAAAATGTTATTAAGGATATGAGTACATTGTGTTTATATGTGATATGGTGTTTTTTTAGTGACTAAAATAATGAAAGAGATATTTCCATAAAAGGTAAATGAATAAAATGAATACTCTCGTAACAAACATATATATACAGCAAAATGTTCCTTTTATGTTAACTAAATTGTTTAATTATTTTAACCCCCCCCCCAAAAAAAAAAAATACCGGTATAGGAACCTACTTAAAATATGAACCTTGTTTTTTCTAGGTATTACTTAATGCCTCCCTAGTATCTGCCTTGTGGGTTTATGGTGCCATTGCTTTCCTATGTGCAATAGATGCCCTGCTACTTCCAATAGAGACCAGGGGAAGAGCAATGGCTGTAAGTAATGAGGGAGATTTTCATTTTTTTTTCTCCAAGTTTCATTATAATTTTCCTAGCTAATTGTTTCATATTGTATGGGCTGCTAATTATTGATATTGCACTGTGAAAGAGAATTCTAGTGCTTTATGGAGAAACATCAAATATTTCTGTCATAAATTTAAGAGATATTTGAAACGTGAGTGAATGATAATGAAGGTGGTGAAAATGATAACCATGCATGAACATTTATAGATATTAGTATATGATATTATGCCTTATGTATAATTAACTTTAAAATCTTTTAATGTGAAACGGCCCTAGAATCTACAGTTGCTTATTTTGATAAGTTTCATGAACTTCAAACAAATTCTTTTAGTAGTACAATAAGTTTGAAACGTAAAATAGCCGTCCACATACTAGTAAATACGTCTTTGCTGATGAACCATTTTAGTGTATTTTTTTTTATTCATCTGCTGCCAGGAAACTGTTCATTTTGCCAAATCTGGTGGTAATTATGAAAGTCAAATAGAAGTGCCCCTTCTTCTCTCTGATGAAAACTAAAATCTTTTTTTGTCATTTTGTAGTAAATGTATCATTTTATATGTTGTAAATTGGAATTTTCAATAAACTGCTGTGGATGCACTGTATTCTTGTTATGTGTAGCAAACATGTTAGATGAGTAGAAACCATGTGATTGTATTTCCTGTGTTTGATTGTTTCCTAACTAGGTGTTTGTTATTAATTTATATTAATAACTTTTAAAATTATTTATTAGAGGATCAAAAACTAAAAAAAAACCAAAAGATTTTGTATCATAATTTTATGTAGTTTTGAATGTTTCTGTCTGTGTGTCATGCATGCACGTACTTGCATGAGAAATGAATTTGCAATGTCAACAGATTATTTCATAGCTTCTAAATGTGCACAAAAAATCATTTCATATTTTCAAAATTTGAACTATTAATAATTCACTCATAGTTTCCCATTGCTGTTGAAATTAAATCTCGATGTACTCTGTGATGTCCTTATCGTTTTCTCTTCTAGCAATCAACATAAATACTCCATCCTCCAGCCAAGAGATTACAAGTCGTTCCCCTAGCGTGTTCTCGGGTGAGCCCCAAGTGAATATTTCCTGGGTTTCTAAGGACCAAAGAGAACCTGTGGATTCTAGATTTTAAACATTAGATATCATGTCACTTATTATTTAGGTCACATGTTTTTAAAACCGTTCAGAACATAAGACACACTGGTACCTTATGAAATATTTAAGCATCAGGGTGGTAAAAATCTATTCAGAGATCCCAATAATTACATTTTAGACATTGTTTTTCTGTTTTTTCGTGTGTAAGATAAAGATTGATATATTTTTCACCTTATTCATACCTTTTTGCTTTTTAAGAAATGATGAGATAAACGTGTGGTACATTTTACAATCTTGGTTTTAAAGGAACAACAATTATAAGAATAAAAATGTGATGAAAGGCCTTAGACATTATACTCATATTCTTAATTTTTTCTTTCTCGTTCCATTGTTCTGTATAAATCCTCAGATTTCTTTGATTACTTACACCCCATTCCCATAGACACCATTCGTCTACGAGGATCAACCCAAATCTGCAGGGACACTCACTAAGTGCGATCAGCTAACTGAATGACACACCTCCACTTGTTTCCAACATGCTCTTAGACCCCATTCCCATAGATTTAAGATCGATCTATCCCTGTGGGGAGTCTCACTAGATTACTGTCAACTTAGCCGGCTTAAGCGTCTGTCCTGCCTACTAAAAGCTGTAATGGGGTAATTAACTATGGTGCACGCTCGGCTGACTGCAATTTAGCGTGAACCCCCAGGGAGTTAGGTCGATCTAAATCTAAATCTCTGGATCGATCTAAATCTCTGGGAATGCACCCTTATAATCACAAGCTTTTCTTTATTCTACTTAACACCAGGAGGAGGCGTGTTAATCTGTTAAGCTGATTGCACTTAGCAGGTGTCCCTTACAGAGTTTGGTCATTCCACATGGACCAATGGTTTCTATGGGAAGTGGATCTTAAAGCCAAACCCTGCCGTAGGATATGTCACTAGTAGTAACATTACCTCAAACAAATATAGTTTTTAAAAATAATTCATTAATATATTATAGTTTTTCGATATGATATGGGCTCTGATATTAAATTTAATGATATTTCTTAATGTGGTTGACATGGTAGCTAGCCTGGTTTATTCCTTAAATGACCAGTTCTATAAAGATACCTACTGTGCTTGTAGGCTATGTGATTTTGTATGTTTTCGGTCACAGTTTATCACGTTGCAATAGTTAAAAAATTGATCCTTACTGTGCATATGTAGAGTCTCAGTAGGTTTTTTGCTTGCTTTTGTCAACATACAAAATTGGAAAGAGGCGAAACTGCATTTTTTCCTTAGTTACTGTAATTGTAAGCATAATATAAGTCCATTTTTAAAAGACGGTATGTAACCAGTAACTTTTAACACCTATATTAATATAACATCTTTATTTACTCTGATTTTGTTTGTTCCCTAATCTAGTTTTTAGGGACTTCACTTTGCATTCCCTGTGAACTCAGTGAAAGACATATGAGTATAATTGAAAATATGTGATATTATTTCAGTGTGCTGCTACATGTGTCTATGTTTATCTCTTGTAAAACACCTTGTATTTTGATGACAAATGTAATATTTCAGTTTATGGGACCAAGTATCACATGTATGCAAGAATAAAGATTATTTCATTTTATTGCTCTGTTTTTTATATTTGCTCAATAATAAAGTGAGTCTACAAATGTAATATAAGTAAAGGCTATTGATATACTTGAAGCTCTTTTTATGTACAGACACAGATGTGTCTGTACATATAGCCGTCATCTGCGTCTGTCGTCGTCGCCGTCGTCGTCGCCGTGCACTTTTACCGATAACACAATAAGTGGAAAACTGTTTTTCGTTTCAGCTTGAAACTTACAGAATTGATAAATATTTATAATATGCAGGTCAAGTTCGAAAATCAGCATGATCGGGTCACTTTTAGGGAAGTTATGCTGTTTTTTCACTTTTTTCAGCATAAATGCAACACCGATAACACGATAAGTGAAAAACCGTTTTACCTTTTGGCTTGAAACTTACAAAACTGATGAATATTCATAATACGCAGGTCAAGTTCGAAAATCAGCATGATCGGGCCATNGTTTACATTGACTGGTATCAATTTTTTTTCTGTTGGAAAACCATCAAAAGTGGAGGATGGATCAACAAAGATACTTTGGAATACTGTCAGAAAATATCTCTGGATCTGCTCCTGTTATTGACCATGTTACCTGTTGTGCATGATTAAAATTCAGTATTGTTTGACAGTGCTGTTATAAGCATTATTTATTATTGCATCAAAATTGACAAAATGACCCATTTTGCATCTTTATTTTCTGTTTTTTGTCTGTACATTTGACAGCTTTGCTGCCTTGTTTTTTGTAATAAATGGCGAGATTATCTTTGCTGTTTTGTGCAGAATTATAGTCTTTTCGCCAAGAAAAATGACTCAAGTCTACAAATGTAATATAAGTAAAGGCTATTAATATAATGCACTAACGACTCTAACCATATCTACGGAAGTGAAGTAAATATTCTGCATTGGGTTGTGAAGGAATATAAAAAAATAAAGACATTCAGATTATAAGGCTGATTTCTCTAAAACGTAATGCAGAAATGGTACATGAGAGCATCTTGCTCCTTTTTTAAATACACAACGAAAAGGGTTCACTGCTCTCCCCTAGTGCCATTGTGGTGCTTAACATAAAGAAGGCAAATATCACGCCACTTATCTCAGAATGCCTCTTTTTATTACTCTTCGTTTTATACATTTTGTTTTGAAATTGCTCCTAGGTTGTACCTGTTTTCTTTCTTCACCTAGCAGCAACCCTACTGAGGAAGGGTCTGCAGCGCTGGGTGCTTGATGGTCACTTGTACCAAGAAGTTATAATGAGATCATCCTTGCTTGTACTTTGGAAAAAAAGCAAAAAGACTGCTACCAGCAACCTGGACAGTGGTACATGCATAGTACTTGAAATGCGTTCCAGTAAATGTTTGAAGATATGGTGCAGTTTTGAAAATGCTCTTGTATATGGAACTTGGTGGTAATAAAGAGACTGAGTAATAAAAATAGACTAAACACTGATATTATGAAAAAAAGAAAAAAAACCCTGCAATCTGGCTAGGGGTCATCTGCTGCAGACCACCTATGACCACATTAGATTTTTAACTACAATCTCTGCCCACTGAAGAGGTTATGTTGGCAGTCATGTTTGAAATCAATATGGTGTTGCATTTCTGCTTGGATTACTGTATTTCTTAAACATACGTGATATAAATGATTGCATAAGGTGTCAATATAATATCAAGCCTGTAGACAGCAATTTCAAAGGGGCAAGGAGGACTGTAGGGAGAGGGGTCTTTTTCTAAAACTGGACCTTCACTCCCCAGAGAAATAGCTAGCATATAGAACCCAATTTAAATGTGGACTCAGATTCATTTCAAACTGAAAGGGTGGTTCTTTTGAACCCTCCCATGTAAGACGTGCAATTATAACAATAAGAATAAACAATATCTGGAAACTATATAATCATAAAATATTTTGATCCCTTCTGCAGTGGTCTAAAAATGTATTTTAAGAGGCTTAATATTACACTTGCACTTAGTTCCTCCACCTAGTTTATATCAGTCAAATGCAAGAAAATAAAAAAAAATCGAAAGAGTATTCTTGTTGTCAAGTAAATATAAATTTGTCTAAAGTAAAAGACACACCAACAAAACCCATTTTAACCTTCACATTTATCAGGTTCCAAATTTTGTGGTTCACATCCTCTGTTAACTGCTCCTAGCATCATTATGTCAACGTAATGGACGTTGTGTTCACACCACACCACATTGACCACAGTGGCAAAGTCCACCCTGGTCAGTTTCATTCCAGTCTCTTCTTGAACTTCTCTTCTGGCACATTCTTCTCTGAAGGAAATAGAATTTTAGTAATTATATTGAAATAAGTAAAAAAAGAGACAAAAAAAAAAAAAAAAGAAGAAGAAGAAGAACCTCCAATGCACAGAAAATGATCAAGTTAAGTATAGATAAATAAATACATGAAAAAAATAAAGAAAGTGAAATAATTATAAAATTAAATTGTGAGAATTTATTTAGGTCGATCATCGGATGTGGCATTGGAGAGTTCTAATCCTCCTTAAGTAGCAACTCAATCCTCCTTAACTAGCAACCAAACTGATACGCCTCTCCCTTATCTATAGAACAAAGGACTGCTTTAACAAATATCTGAAAAGTTCTGAGTAGTAAACTTTGATAAGTTTGCAGTATTGATAAATATTATGTAAGTGGTGGCAATTCGATATCAAACAAAATCAAATAAATATGTTTTCGAGTGGAGGTTAATCAAAACTAGCGAGCAGTTAAGTGAGGAGTGGAGCTGTTATAATCGTAGGTAACATATTTATCTGGATTTGACCTGTTAATGTTTTTTCCCTATATTTGTGTGTGTGTGTGCGATACTGCTCCCCATGCCGTGTTATATCACTGATACATGTCCGCCATCTACGGCAGTCTTTGACACGCAACTCTTTGTCAAGAGGTTACACCTATACAAATACAACTGCTTTAAATGTTATTTTTGTGCTGTAATAAAGCTTAATAATGATCAATTATGACGGATTATATTAATCTATTGCAAATAAATTGAATGAATAATGAATTCCCAAAGACGAAACGCTTATTGCGACTGCCTGTTAACGTTTAAAGGTATACTATCCGCGTTTGAAAATGTCCCAAAGATATATTTTTCTATGTTTACATATCCTGCAAAGCTGCTTATCTCTCCCAATTCAAAACTTAAAAACTATATAACCCCTAGAATAAAACTTAAGTACCTGATGCCAAATAATGCGAAATAGTGAGTAATCCCATTTATTCTTTTACCAGAAAGAAAAATAAGAAATGGCAAGTCTGGCGGTTCAATATATTTATTATTATATTTGAACTTGAAGTACAGTATGATCAAACGACATCTCACCCCAGAACTAAACGCACACGCGCGTTTATGTACAAAACCCAAAACATGTAGGATTTATAGGCCCCTATACGAAAGCCCCCAATTTCTTTCTGAAACGTACACGAAGACATGGCGGAGTAAGTAAGTAAGTGACTTGCCAATCATTGCGAACTTGATTATCTAATAAAAATTGATGTAAACCATCGAATTCAAATGCTGGGACGGGTCGAGCAATGATTGGTGACCTGGAGAATTTCTTCGGGAAAATTTCGATTTGACAGGAAAACCAAGTATAGGATACTTAAAATATCGGACTAGTAGAATATGTTAACTTCCACACAGAACTGTTGGAGATGACGGTGTTTGGCGATTCTCCCATTTCACTCTCTGTTGGTCAGCCTAAATAGAACCCTAGGGCCATCTGCAGGTACTTGGCAGACAAAAATTATATGTGCAGATGGTTGATGTCTTTTTTCTGCAGTGTAGGGCGTGGTCTTAGTCTTATGGAGCGGTTATAGTGTGTGAATTTTATTTTTTCATGTATGTTAACTGGGGTAATGTTTCTTGACAGGAGTTTCTATGCAAGATGAATATTGAAATCCATTTTTGAGTGTATTATAAAACAATCTAAAGTATTCAAATTA